TGGCTCAAGTGGTAGAGCGCTAGCCTTGAGCTGAAGAGCTGAGGGACAGCACCCAGGCCCAGAGTTCAGGCCCCACGACCGGACCCAAAAAAAAAAAAGAAAGAAAGAAATGTAAAGTGGTATAGCTCCAAGACAGACCATCAATATATTCTTTCATGAATGTATGCCAAGCAAGTCAGCAATGTAAGATCACTTTCCTATTGTATTCCCCAATAGTTTTCATTTAGTGTACTTGACCTTTTTCACACTAAGTCCCATGGTTTTTCCCATGACTGAGAGATGAAGGTACGGGTGCTTAGCTAGGTTACCCATTTCAGAAAGATAACATGATGTTCCTCATTCAAAATCTCTGACCACATGTCAAGTTCATGAGAAAATTCAGTATTACCCTACAGTATACTCTACACATTAGTAAACATGGAGATCTTTTCTGCAAGATCACAAGTTAAAGGTTGTAATTTAGCGGGGCGCCAGTGGCTCACGCCTGAAATCCTAGCTACTCAGGAGGCTGAGATCTGAAGATCACGGTTCAAAGCCAGCATGGGCAGGAAAGTCTGTGAAAATCTTTATCTCCAATAAACCACCAGAAAACTGGAAGTGGCTCAAGTGGTAGAGCACTTGCCTTGAGCTGAAGAGCACAGGGACAGTGCCCAAGCCAAGAGTTCAAGCCGCATGACCAACCAAAAAAAAAAAAATGTTGTAATTTAGTTTTCATTAAATGCTTTTTTAAAAAGTTAGTTTTTATTAAATGTTTTTGAAAGTCTAAACCAAAGATAACAGAATGAAACAAAATGTACAGAAGAGGAAAGATACACTGAAGAAAACACTAAATCATAAGGCTGATAAAAGTGAAATGCAGAGCCAAATGACTGTGATGACTGGATCATCAGTAGTTATGATTGTACAAGAAGCTTTGTGAACCTGTGATAAACTGACATTGAACTCTACTCTGTAATTACCCATGATGTAATCAATGATGGAAATGGTGTGAAGGATTCTAGGCCCTCTGTATACACCTTCTGCAATTTTGTGTGTGTGGGAACCAATCGATATTTTTAAATTAAAATGTGTCTTTAAAAATTAGAGGGTGACAGGACTCACCAAAGTCAAATTATTGAGAAAAATGTTCAAAATTAGAGATTAGCTTTAAAATTCAAAGGACAATGTTATTCTATGATTTACAAAACAAAATGCAAAGGCCTAGAGTAGTTAAAACAAACCTGAAGATCAATGCACTAGTAGCATTTGGAACAATTTCATTTTCAAAGATGCTAAAATATACACACTAGATTATTAATATTTAGCAAATGTAAGTGGCAGTACATGGTTACGTGCTTCCTGTACTGTGACAAAGTTGAATAAACAGGAGAAGGCAAGCTTTATTTTGACTCAGTTTCAGAGGTTTCAGTTTATGATTCAATCCATTGTCTTGAGACCTCTCAAGAAGGCAGAGAACATGATGGTAAGGATAACATAGTAGAGTAAGCTGCTTACCTCATGGCAACTGGAAGTCACCAGACGAATAAAGGATAAAATTTCAGTATCTCTTTCAAAAGAATACCTCCCCAAAGCAGGGCACCAGTAATCCTAGCTACTCAGGAGGCTGAGATCTGAGGATCACAGTTCAAAGCCAGCTTGGGCAAGAAAGTCCATGAGACTCAGAAAACTGGAAGTGGCACTGTGGCTCAAGTGGTAGAGCACTAGCCTTGAGCTGAAGAGCTCAGGGACCGCACCCAGGCCCAGAGTTCAAGACCCAGGACCAACAAGAAACAAAAAAGAATACCTCCCTAATCTGAACTGATTCCACTATGTTTTACCTCTTAAATTTCCTAGTACAGTACCTCTTATATATAGTGCTACAGGTTGGTAACCAAGCCTCAAGCATGCAAGCCTTTAGGTGACATTTAAAATCAAAATTGTGATTGTTCCCTTCATTTTTGCACATTTGAGATATTTCAGAAATTTCAAGGTTAAGGAGAGTAGACTCAAAACAGTCAAATAAATGGATAAACTTCCATCCATTAATGGATGAATATCCATCTACTTATTTGATGATCAGAAGTCAGGCTGCTCTGGGTGGAGTGAAGGGTCCAATGACCCACCCTACTTTCTGTTCTAGTCATTTTATTTTCTGTGGTCTCTCGTGTGCTGAAACAATGCCTTAAGGCCATCATTTGAATGTTTGTGTCCATCCAAAATCCATAAGTAGAATCTTAATGCCCAATGTGAAGATACTTGGAGGTGGGTCCTCTAAGAGATGAAGACAGCACTCTCGTAGATGGTACGAGTGTCCATATAACAGAGATCTTAGAGCACTCTCTTGTCTCTTTTACCAAGTGAAAACACAGTAAAAAGGTGAACTAGGTAGGATTCAGGCCTTCACCAGACACTAAATCTGCCAGCACCTTGATCTTAGACTTTCTAAGCTTCAGAACTGGGAGAAATAAAGTCTATTATTTATAAGCCATGACTTTATTGTATATTTTGTTATAACAGCCAAAATAGACTAAGACACTTAGATGTAATAAGGACTCTGTAAGTAAGTGTGAAATAAATTATATATTTTACTACAAACTGCATATCTACAGAGCCTATGAAGTAACAGTGGTAGACAATAAAATTATTTTTTGGGGGGGGTCTGGTCGTGGGCCTGAACTCTGGGCCTGGGCGCTGTCCCTCAGCTCTTCAGCTCAAGGCTAGCGCTCTACCACTTGAGCCATAGCACCACTTCCAGCTTTTTTCTTTTTGCTTATGTGGTGCTGAGGAATCGAACTCAGGGCCTCATGGATGCAAGGCAAGCACTCTACCACTGAGCCATCTTCCCAGCCCCAGACAATAAAATTATTTAAAGAAACTTTAAAAAATAAAATTAGAGGGTGAGCCGGGCTCCAGTAGCTCACACCTGTAATCTGCTGCTCAGGTGGCTGAAATCTGAGGATCACGGTTCACAGCAAGCCTGGGTAAGAAACTCCGTGAGACTCTTATCTCCAAGAAACCACCAGAAAAACAGAAGCGGCGCTATGAGTCAAGTGGTAGAGTGCTAGCCTTGCGCTAAAGAGGCCCAGGCCTAGAGTTCAAGCCCCACAACCGGCAAAAAAAAAAAAAAAATTAGAGGATGAGACAGAAATCAAAATGAATCCCACATCCACATCACTGGAGTTCACTCCTAGTGGCAGCAGGAAATAAAGCAGGAAAAACATTTTCAGAAATGATAAAAGTTTTTCCTTAAACAAAAGAAGTATACTGTGTGACAGTGTGAGTCAACATAGAGCTATGAGATAATAAAATGAGCCATCTTTGGAAAAATCTTTAAAGAAGATAGTCAATTAAAAAGCAAACAATTTGGCTAATCCTAGATTTTCCTCCCACATTCCAGATATAGTAAACTAATTCCTCTAAAAAATTTAAGAGAGAAAAATCAAAGCTTTAAGGCATACTATAACATGTCATCACCAGAAGGTCTTCAGATCTAGTTGGGCTAAATGACTCAAAATGGCTTTTAATATTAAATTGGCTGTCAAGTAAGTGTCAATGTATATGAAAAACTGTCTCAAAATGAGGCATCTACAAAAGAGTCACTGAAACATGGAAGACAAACCTCTCCATTGGTACTCAGTTCTAACTAACCCGCATCACATTTCAAATGAATGTGCAAAACTCTAATAACAGCTTGTAAAATAGTTAATAGAAAACACTGAAATCCACTATTTTGAAACAAATCGATTTATATACTTTGTGTGTGCACACGCACGGGCACACTTCACTTGCAGGTAGAGACTCGAACTTTGGGCCTCAATTCTCACTCAGCTTTTCTTCACTTAAGCCTCATACTCCCCCCTTCCAGCTTTTTGCTGGTTAATTGCAGAAAAGAATGTCTAAGGGATGTGAGGGCGATCTGGCTATGACATCTGTCACCCCATTGATCGCCAGGGTTGATTTGGCTGATCTGACCAGCTAGGCGGGTGTTCCCTTCCTCCCTCACCGCTCCATGTGCGTCCCTCCCGAAGTTGCGTGCTCGCTCGGTCGAAGAGGACGACCATCCCCGATAGAGGACTGGTCTTCGGTCAAGGGTATATGAGTAGCTGCGCTCCCCTGCTAGAACCTCCAAACAAGCTCTCAAGATTGTCTCAGATCTGTGTGCCTAGGCTGGCTTCAAACTGCGTCCTCAGATCTCAGCCTTCTGAGTGGCTAGGATTATTGGCATAAATCCTGGCAACATTATTACTTTTGTAGACAGAGAATGATTATAAGTGAAAATCGCAGAGCATAAAAGTTTGCACAGAAATAATTCACAAAAGGGGCTGGGAAGGTGGCTCAGTGGTAGAGCGCATGCCTTGCATGCCAGAGGCCCTGGGTTCGATTCCTCAGCACCACATAAGCAAAAAGAAAAAAAGCTGGAAGTGGCGCTGTGGCTTAAGTGGTAGAGCGCTAGCCTTGAGCTGAAGAGCTGAGGGACAGCGCCCAGGCCCAGAGTTCAGGCCCACGACCGGACCCAAAAAGAAAAAAAAAAAGAAAAAAGTCACAAAATATTTTTTTAATTTTTTACCTTTGCAAGGAATCTAAAGGAGAAATTTACACTTCCAATTTTCTAAACAGAGCACATATTTTATTTAAAAAACAAACAAACAAGGTAAGCACATACCTTGATAAACTTGTTCCAGAAATTTCACTAGGAGAATGGCTGAGTGATGAGGTAGAAGGCCTGAAGCTCTCCGGATCCTCCTGTAAGCCAGACCCACCATGCTCAGGAGAGGTATTTTTCAAACCTATCAGAAAAGTGTATTTGCCAATAAGAACAGAGAAAAAAAAAAAAAAGCATGATTTTGTGAATGTAGTCAATCACTTAGATACTTACCATCACTTTCAGATGGGACATTGCACTGTTCTTCAAAAGTCACATGCTTGTCACTGCTGCTTGCTTCACTAACACACTCTTTTTGATTCTGATTTTCTCTATTTTCACGTATTTCTTCATACTCTTCTAAGAAGCAATGGGATGTTATTCTGGGGTTCCTTACTGATGAGTAGCTATTGGTTATTGGAGTAGAAACTGAGGAAGTTTCTTTCTCATTGTTATGCATATCTGACAACTTATTATTGTCAATGAAACACGTCTTTGTATCAACTATTCTTGTAATTTTAAGAACTGAGCCTGAAGAATCTTCGGTTCCAAGTGGCTCCTGATTGCCCTGTTCTCCATTTTCATCACAAAAAATAGCTGCTAACTTTTCTTTTGGTTCCCTTATAATTATATTAGTAGCACATGAGTCAACCATATGGATGTCTTGAATAGTTTGTTCTTTTGGTAAAGATAAATTCCAAATATCAGATGTGCCAGCCCTTGAAGACTCTTCCAATCCACCTTCAGACCTACTAACTTCTGTCTTCTTAAGGTATTTTTCCATATCAAATGCAGTGTACCTATTATTTTTTTCTAAGTCATTAGGTAAGGGATGAGACACTGTGGAATGGCCCTTCTGGTTATCATCTTGGTAAGAAGTCTTGTCTCTGGTTCTATTTCTAAGTGCCTTCATCATGACAACAAGCTGGGCAGGATCAGCACTCACTGACACATCTGCAATTGCTGAGGCAATGGTGCTGATCCTAAGTACAGAATCACCATCATTATGCAGTGAGTCATTGCATTCCTTGTGTTTGACACTACTGAAGGAAGTATCCTAAAATGAGAAAATTTACACCAGATAAACTTATTCTACTTTCACAGGTAAGTACATATATTTAGTCTTTATTTAAAGAAGCCCATTTTATCCACACAGAAATGTTCTAAGACCCAGTGATTGCCTGATACCATGAATGACGACACCCAACTGTATAAATATTGCTTTTCCTAGAAACATTTATGCATATACTAAAGCCCATTTATAAATTAAAATACATAATAGTATTGTTAACACAATAACTACAACTAATTTTCTAACATACCAAGTATCCCAACTGTCGACCAACAGGAAAATGTCTGTAAATTGTATATATTCATAAAATAGACTAACACAAAGTAAGAAAAATGAACTTGTTTTTCTCATGTAACAAGTAAAAAAAAAAGTGAAAATAAATTAAGTAAAGCAGGAATACATGCTATATGGTTTCTTTTTTATATGCATATTCAAAAACAGGATGGGCACAATGGCTCATCCTTATAACTCTTAACTACTCAGGAAGAAGGCAGAGATCAGGAGGATTGTGGCTTGAGGCCAGCCCAGGCAAAAAACTCAAAAAACCCATCTCAACCAGCAAAATTACTGGGCTCCATATACTCCTGCCATCTCAGCTCTCTGGGGAGCATAAATAGGTGTGTTGATGTACAAGTCAGTCTAGACATAACTGAAAGTTCCTACCTGAAAAATAGCAAAATCAAAGAGTTAAAGACATAGCCCAATGGCAGAGGATATGCCTAGCAAGCATTAAGCATTGCATTCAAAATCTTGCTATCACCTAAAACATGGGAGTTGAACTACATGAATAAATTAAATTTCTCCTGGAGGAAAAGCCATAGTCAAAAACCGTGACAAACAGGGAAAAGTTATTTGCCATATTTATATAAAAGGGCTCTAGCTATTAGTAAGGAAAAACAGTACAAGAGAAAAACAAGCAAAGAAAAATGTTTAGGAACAGGCAATCTTTAGATCTTCTAACAATATTAAATGTCATGCGATCCTGTTGAGGAGGAAGAAAAATACCGTTTCTTAACTATTGGAAATATTCGTTTGCCCCCGCATAGCCCTAAAGATGCAAGTTACATCTGGTGCTGGCTTTCTTGCTGGTAGACCACAGAAATAGAGCAGGATATCCCATAAGAAGAGACAATGAGTGGCTTGTGTATTTGTATCTGGGCAATCTTTCTTGTATATGGGTATACAAATGGTGATAATTCATTCACTAGATGTATTTTATAAACTCCTTTGTGGGTATATCAAAATTAGTGAAATGGATTTTTCTTTTCATTAAAAGGAAACTTGTAAGAAAATTGAAACCAGGGAAATAAAACAAATGCAATGGTATATTTTTTCACAAATGATATTGTCTTACTCAGAAACTATAACAAGATAATCTTAGACTTCCTTTAAGAAAGGCTTAATCTACCTCTGTTTTGACTTTATTGGCAGTTAATGTCATATCATGTTCATCCACTTGTGAAATACTCTCCAGTGTTTCTGCCTGTAGTGTGACTGATCCTTCACTTAGCTGTGCCTGGGATGTTTCATTTACATCTTCTACAAGAAAAAAAAAAAAAACATTCAACTTACAAGTTTATACTATCTCTTGGCAACAATTCTAAATCAAGAGTAATCAAAACAGAGCTGGGTACCAGTGGTAGGGCCTGAGTTCAAGAACCAGGCCCATGGGGCGCTCCGTGGTAGAGCGCTTGCCTTGCAAGCCTGAGGCCCTGGGTTCAATTCCTCATCACCACATAAGCAAAAAGAAAAAAGTCGGAAGTGGCGCTGTGGCTCAAGTGGTAGAGCGCTAGCCTTGAGCTGAAGAGCTGAGGGGCAGCGCCCAGGCCCAGAGTTCAGGCCCCATGACTGGACCCCCCCCCCAAAAAAAAGTTAGAATTTGTTTAGTTCGTCAGAAATTGTATTTGTTTTGTTTCTGAAGTGATACTGAATATGTAAGATGTTAATAAATATATACATGTATATGTATATATACATGTGTATGGATATTTTTATGGATATATATATATATATATATATTATTAACTGTCAAGGAAGAATCTTAATATCCCAAGCACCAGTTGTCCTAAGATTATTTAAGTGTATAGCCACTTGGACAAAGAAGAAATCTGATGGACTATTGTGGATTTTAATCTCTCCCTTGAAAGCATTCTCATTAACTGATTTAATATTTTTCAGTTTCAAAATTTCACATTAAAATATATATATATATATATATATATATATATATATATATATATATATATATACTGGTACTGGGTCTTGAATTCAGGGGCTTGTGCTCTCCCCTCAGCTTTTCCATTCACAGCTGGCACTCTTACCACTTGAAATAAGCCTGTAGTTCCAAGTGTATACTTCCATAGAGTAGAAAATGAACTAACTATACGTATCTAGAGATTCTATCCCAATTCTTCATTAAGAAATGGAATACAAAGCTGGGAGCAGTGGCTCACACCTATAATTCTAGCTACTCAGGAGGCTGAGATCTGAGGATCTTGGTTCAAAGCCAGCCTGGGCAGGAAAGTCCACAAGACTCTTATCTCCAATAAGCCACCAGAAAACCGAAAGTGGAGATGTGGCTCAAGTGGTAGAGCACTTGTCTTGGACAAAAAAAAAAAAAGGAATATATCTTACACAACTTCACATGACACCTGTATTAGCAAAAAGAAGTAGCTCAATACTTATAGTTAACTAGTCCATTTGAGGTGTTTTTTTGGTAGTAGTTTTTTGTTGTTGTTTTGCAGAACTGAGAATTGAATCCAGGTCCTCAGGCTTGCTAGGCAAATGCTCAACTACTTGATGTATGCCTCTAACCCTTTTTTTTTTTTTTGGGTCCAGTCGTGGGGCCTGAACTCTGGGCCTGGGCGCTGTCCCTCAGCTCTTCAGCTCAAGGCTAGCGCTCTACCACTTGAGCCACAGCACCACTGCCGGCTTTTTTCTTTTTGCTTATGTGGTGCTGAGGAATCGAACACAGGACCTCAGGCATGCAAGGCAAGCGCTCTACCACTGAGCTACCTTCCCAGCCCCTCTAACCCTTTTTGTTTGTTTTTATCCCCTCTGCTTTTTTTTTTTGCTGGTTATGGGGCCTGAACCCTGGGCCTGGGCGCTGTCCCACACCTCTTCAGCCCAAAGCTAGCACTCCACCACTTGAGCCACAGCACCATTTCCGGCTTTTTCTGCTTATGTGGTGCTAAAGAATCGAACCCAGGGCCTCATGCATGCAAGGCAAAGCACTCTACCACTGAGCCACCTTCCCAGCCCTTCCCCTATGCTTTTGAGACAAGGTCCCAGTAATTTTGTCTGGGCAAGCCTTGTACTTGAAATCCTCCTACCTCCACCTCCCAAGTAGCTGGGGTAACAAGAGATCATCACTGCACCTGGTTAACACTAGTATTCTGCAATAGAATTTGGTAAATTTTAGCTGACTTGCTTCAACTTTTGATTAAAAAGGAAATGTGAAATTATGTAAAAATCAAAATTGAAAAATCATAATCTGTACATTGTAATCCATAAAGAACATTATCACAAAAATAATTACATTACACATTAAAAAAAAAAGCTGGGCACAATGGGTCAATACTGTAATCCTAGTTCTTAATGAGAAAAAGACCACAGCATCATGGTTTGAAGCCAGCGAAAGCAAAAGTTTATGAAGGTCAGACTCCATCTCAGTCAATGGCTAGGCACATCCCTGTCAGCCAAAATATGTGAGAAAGTACAACTAAAAGGATCTAGTAGCCAGGTGCTGGTGGCTCACGCCTATAATCCTAGCTACTTAGGAAGCTGATATCTGAGGATTGGGGTTCAAAGCCAGCCCAGGCAGGAAAGTCCATAAGTCGCTTATCTCCAATTAACCACTAAAAAACTGAAAGTGGTACTGTGTTTCAAGTGGTAAAGTGCTAGCCTTGAACTGAAGAACGCCCAGTCCCAGAGTTCAACCCAATGACCAACAAAAATTAAATAAATACATAAATTATATATATATAGATAGATAGATAGATCTAGAACCAGGTATGAGATTCTATGCCAAAAATAACCAGCACAAAAAAGGCTGAAGGAATAGTTTTAAATTGAGGAACATCCATATAGCAAGTGTAAAACCCTGAGTTCAAACCCCAATACTGTTCCTAAAAAAAGATCCTAAAAATCTTTTCATTTAATTACCTGAAAATTGATCCGGGTTAGGATGAGCTATTTCTTCCTCCCAATTATCTCTTGATATATCAGATTTTTGTATTAAAGCAACAGGTTCTCTCTCCTCTGGTGATCTAATAAAATAACCAAATGATGGCTACAAAATAATTAAACATGAATTAATGTTACCTAATGTTCAAAAGCTTTGGGAAATTATAGATTCCTTTATCTAATAATGGTAACAAAGAAAAATTACTTCAACAAGACTGTTCTTTCCATTTAGCCTTAAATTAATGCAGCCATTTCCTTCCCTAACATTAACTATTATTTAATCATTAGAACTACCTCTGTCAAATAAGTTAGCCTTACCAAGAAGTCTGAACTAAACAATACAATGCCGGGCATGGTGGTACCTGACTGTTATCCCAGTTACAGCTGTGAAGATTAGGAGAATAGCAATCTGAGGACAGCCCTGGGCAAAAACTCGACAAACAAACCAAGAAAGGATTGGGAGTAAGGCCCAGAGTTTAAACCGCGGACCTGGGAAGGTGGCTCAGTGGTAGAGCACTTGCCTTGCATGCTTGAGGCCCTGGGTTTGATTCCTCAGTACCACATAAGAAAAAAAGCCGGAAGTGGTACTGTGGCTCAAGTGGTAGAGTGCTAGCCTTGAGCTGAAGAGCTGAGGGATAGCGCCCAGGCCCAGAGTTCAGGCCCCACGACCAGACCCAAAAAAACAAAACAAAACAAAAAAAAACAGAGTTTAAACTGCATATGAGCACAAAAGGAAAACACAGAGGTGACACTTTATTTCTCCAATCATTGTTCTTAAATATTCACTATATATTAGGTATTGCTCCAATTATTACTAATATTTTAATGAGAAAAAAAGATAAAAAGTCCCTACCTCAGGGAACTGACAGTACAGAATATAGTAGTATTTATTCTATATTATTTATTCTAGAATAAACACATCTGAGAAAATATATGTAAAGATTAGATATGTTCCTACTGACTTCAGAAAGTTCTACAATCAAGCAGAATATGGAATTCTTGTTCTCACTACCTTCTCATGATAGACACAAAGTATGAATTAACTAAGTGCACTTAACTTTTTATTAATCTTCACTGAGAATTTCCTTGATGCAATCATTCGAAGTATAAAATTTTATAATTGTCAAAAATTCTGAATAACATCTATTTTCCCAATATTTAGTGCTTTGTTCATGTAAGAAAGAATTCAGACACAACTTTACTCAGAAGGTTGAGGATCAGTAGATGAATGGATCAAGAAAATGTGGTATATATATATATACACAATGGAATTCTATGCCTCCATCAGAAAGAATGACACTGTCCCATTTGTTAGGAAATGGAAAGACTTGGAAAAAATTATATTAAGTGAAGTAAGCCAGACTCAAAGAAACATAGGTTCCATGTTTTTCTTATCTGCAATAACTAGTATATGTCTAAGACAAGCAGAAGAGGTCAAAAGCTATGTACATATGACCACATAACCTGATACTAAACAAAATGAACCCCAAGATAGGGACACAGAGATTTTATCTTTCTTGTTCTTTTTAATGTACTTATAATGTACTATGTGATTTTTTTTGTTTCTTTGTATGTTCTTCCCCCATGATATAACCCCTGTTTTCTCAGTGTATTTGATTCCCGTGTCCTGCATTTTTCTAATGTGGGGAGGGGAAGGGAAATAACAAAATGCTGAAATAAGGATACAGGATGACCCATTGTAACAATGAGATGTACAAGACACTATGTTGAAAACAAACTTTACAACTTTGGGAGTGGGGGGAAGGTGGGGAGGAAAGAGTTGGTAGGGGAAAAACAAAGGAGAAATAACAATGCTTGATAGGAAACTGACTCATTAATTTGCTCATGTAACTGTAACCACTCTGTACAGTATCTTTATAATAAAAATATATATTTTATTTTATGTTTATTTGTTTGTTTTTTTGGGTCCGGTTGTGGGGCCTGAACTCTGGGCCTGGGCACTGTCCGTCAGCTCTTCAGCTCAAGGCTAGCACTCTACCACTTGAGCCACAGAGCCACTTCCGGCTTTTTTCTTTTTGCTTATGTGGTGCTGAGGAATCGAACCCAGGGCCTCTGGCATGCAAGGCATGTGCTCTACCACTG